TACTTAACTGTGTTGTGTCTGTATTTACATGCCAATACATAAATCTCTTTAAAGTGTAAGTTATCTTCACTCTGAGCTTTATTAAAAGTTTGAAAATACCCTCATAATCAGAAAGTAGAAAGTTAAGCTCATTCATTCCATCCTCCCCCCACTCGGCTTAATATTTTTCGGTCACAGTGTTCTTGCTACCTCTCTGACATGCCAAGTCTGTCAGGCCTTTGCTCTAGGTGATTCTTTCTCCCTAGGATGCTCTTCCCATAGGTATCCACTTGATTAGAATCTTCATCTTTTTCAGGTCTTTGCTGAAATCTCACCTTCTCAATGAGCCCTACACTGACCACTCTCCTTAATGGAGCAAACTGTCTTCTGGCCTTGCATTTCCCTTTGCTCACGAGCTGGTTGCACCCCAATCCTCTCACCTGATATACATGTTTTGCTCCTAGTCCTCCCTTAATCTCTTAATCTCTTCTTAACTTTTTGTTGTTGTTGTTGTTGTTGTTGTTTTGTTGTTTAGAGACAGCATCTTGCTGTCACCCAGGATGGAGTGCCGTGGCTCAATTATAGCTCACTGCAGCCTTGAATTCTTGGGCTCAAGTTTTTTTTTCTTAAATTGGAGACAAGGCAGACAAATTTATTATGTGTACATGCCATCTAACACAATATTATTACAAATAGTCCCCAGTGTTCGATGGTTCAACTTACAATTTTGTTTTGACTTTACTACGGTGCAAAAGCAGTACACATTCACTTGAAAATACTTTGAGTACCCATACAGATATTCTGTTTTTCGCTTTCAGTTCAGTATACAATAAATTACATGAGCTATTCAGCACTTTATTATAAAATAGGTTTTTAGATGAGTTTGCACAACTGTAGGCTTTCCAAACATGTTTAAGGTAGGTGAGACTAAGCTCTGATATTTGGTAGGCTAGGAGAATTAAATGCATTTTACTCACAATTTTTCCAAATTATAGTGGATTTATTGGGGAATAACTCCACTATAAGTCAAAGATCATCTGTATATTTTACTTATTTTTATGTTTGTTTTAATTATCTCTCTCTAACTCCTTCCCACTAGAATAAAACTCCATGAGGGCAGGGATCTTTTTTGGTTTTGTTCTCTCATATTCCAAGCACCTAGAATAGTGTCTGGCACTTGTTGAGTTTCCAAAAAGCAATTTTTGTTGAGTAACTAAGTGAACAAAGATTATCACACACATATATACACCCCTGTTCACACCAGCTGTATCTTGGGGTGACATTAGAAATTTGTGGATATAAATCAACAGTCTTTTTGGGTGGGAGTGAGGGCTAAATATCTTGTTAGCTATTACCATAATAGAATGCATTTGGAATTTTGCGGAAAATACAAATACAAGTTTTTTTTTCTTTTTTTGAGTTGGAATCTCACTCTGTCACCCAGGCTGGAGTGCAGTGGCACAATCATGGCCACCACAGCCTCGACCTGCTGGGCTCAGGCAATCTTTTCACCTCAGCCTTTCAAGTAGCTGGAACTACAGGCATGTGTCACCATGCCTGGCTAATTTTTTGATTTACTATAGAGATGAGGTCTCACCACGTTGCCCAGCCTGGTGATGAACCCATGGGCTCAGGCAATCCCTCTTGCCTCCAACTCTCAAAGTGCTAGGGTGTGTGAGCCACTGCACCTGGCATAAGAATACTAGTTATTAAAAAGCAATTGACTGTATGTTTTCTTACTTTCTTTGGCTACAGATCTTCAGCCTCCTTAGGGTGCCATCTCTACCAAGAGGGACTGGGTAAGAGAGTGTGGCTAGCCTAGTACAAATCCAGTTATAAAAAGCTGACAACCATGTCAGGAGAATCACTTGAGAATTTAAAGAATAGTACCCCTCCCCTTATTGGATGTTCACTGAACTAGTATTTTTCAAGACTTTCTATTAAGCAACTCTTTTGTTCCCAAGTAGTGGTACTAGAGTAGTAATAAAGCTCATTAGTTAGCAAACATGTTACAATCTATGTACAGTTACATATGTATGTATACATATATGCATATACGTGTGTGTGTGTGTGTGTGTGTGTGTGTGTGTGTGTATCTGCAAATGTCTTTCTATAAGATAAGAGTTTCCCACAATCTTTAGTCTCTGGCTTGAGGGGAAAACACTCTGTAACTAATTCTGCTGCCTTTTCCTAACTTTTCAGAGTCATCAAAGCAAAGTCTTTAATGCCTGACTCTCTCTGAAGTACCTTGTAATGAGCTTATTGTCTGGGCAAAGGTAACTTAACATTCCTATTTCTAATCAATAGCTAACTTTCAAAGCATTGTTAGTTTTTAGTGGCTCTAATCGGATCTCCAAAATGTGTTCTGGACTGAGCAGAGGCTTGAAAAACGGGCACACTTTCATTTCTGTATCATGAGCCAAATCTGGTGGAGTTGCTAACTGCTTCAAAAAACCAACAGTAGAAATCAACTAGTTGGAGAAATGATCAGTCCAAGTACAAGATCTTAAAAGCTCAAGATGAAGGCGATAACTCTTGAAAGAGGAAAGACAGTTCTTTAGATTTAGAAGAGAAAATGATCGACTTGAACAGAGGTTGACAACCTAGCATGCTTGAGGCCTGGAGTCCAGCTCCAACTCCCTCATGTACAAGCTCTGAACTTCATTCTCCTCATAAAAATACGGCAATGGTGGCAAGTTCATATGGTTTTTGTGAAGGCTTCACGAGGTATTAGAGTGTTCTCCCTTTTCTTAGATCCTCCAAGCAGGCCTGCCATCTTTGCTTGACTGTCTCCTTTTTCCTGAGAGTTCTCTTTTTTTCAGTCACTCCCTTTCCTCCTTCAGAACTCGGAACAGATTTCATCCAGGAGAGCTAATCCCAGGCTAATCGTTTCTTAATTCCATATTCTCCTAGACCAAATTCATCTTGCTTATGAATTTATCTTGTTTATAATGCATTATTCTGTACTTTTTTGTGGTTTTGTCATTGCTTTTTATTTTTATGGTTTATCTTTAAGGTTAAATAGTAAATTCCTTGTGGACAAGAAATATATCTTCTACTTTTCTGTTTGCATCCTTACCTGCCTACTGTACTACCGTGTCAAGGTTGATGCCCCCCAAGAAAAAGATGGAGGGCCTCCTAGTCATCTCTGCTGTCTTGGGGTGCACACATGAGCATCCTGATGTATACTCCCAGATAGGTAATGGGAATTAGAGAGCTGCTGTTACCCTTACCCTTTACCCTTCAGCAGAAGATGAAAGTGAACTAAACATAATATTTGTACTCTATGACTTGTGTTTGTTAACCCTCTCACCTAGAAGATAGGTTATATAATTCTCATTTTATAGATGAGAAAACTGAAATTCAGAGAAGTCAAGTAGTTTGTCCAAAGTCACACAGGTAGATGACAGTGTTCAGGCACGGATCTGCTACCTCCAGGCCTAGTGCTCTTTCTGCTGAGCCAGGGCTGCTGTGCACTCAGTCACTAGAGGATGTTTGACAAACTGCATTCCTGAAACTTGTCTGGCTGTGGCTCAGCACCCTTGGATTTAGAGGGATTGGTCAAGTGGCAGGATTAGGAGCAACAAGATTAGTTGACTATAGAAGTATGGACGTACAGTATTCATGTCTATGTGATTATTATCTATTTATATATGTGTGTATGTGAATATATATTACATATTTTTATATATTCACACATATATGACTAGATCACTTAAATAATGTAAGTGTACTATATTTGTATTACAGTGTTAAATTAAGATAGACTAAATATACTAACATGGTAGTCTATTAAGTAAATGTTTAAATTATCAGGTTCTATGGTATATGTTCCTCTGTTTCCAACCTGTTTTTCCAACTTGCACTTTTCTAAACAAAAAATTAATTGCATTGTCCAAAGCAATAGATTTCTTCAAAATAGAGCTGATTGAGAGGTGGAAGAAATTTAAAGGTGAGAGAAGAGTTTACCAACAGACTCAGGACTCAGACATGAGGTACCCTGATGAGGTTCTATCCCTGCATCTTGCTTCTGAGAATAATATCAGATGTCCCAGGCCAGAGGCCGCAGGGGCCTCCAGGGTGACATACTCTGCTACTCTCCAATTTTATTGCACGCAGAGGCTGGCAATGACCAGAAAAAGAGCCAGGCTTTGTTTGATAGGCCTAAGGTCATGGTCCAATTCAAAAGCCACCCTACCTCTACTGAACAGCTGAGAACATATGTGGCGAAGAGAGGACCAAGGCGCTTAGGCCCCAGCCTTGGATTAAAAATGCTCCAGGTAGCCGGGCATGGTGACTAACACCTGTAATCCCAGCACTTTGGGAGGCAGAAGCAAAAGAATTGCCTGAGCCCATGGGTTTGAGACCAGTCTGGGCAACATGGTGAGACCTCATCTCTACAATTAAAAAATCAGCCAAGTGTGGTGGTGCATGCCTGTAGTTCCAGCTACTTGGAAGCCTAAGGCAGAAGGATTGTCTGAGCCCAGCAGGTCAAGGCTGCGGTGACCATGAGCGTGCCACTGCACTGCAGCCTGGGCGACAGAGTGAGACTCTGACTGAAAATAAAAAGTAAAGATCCAGGTCACTGCCGTAGGAATCATGGTGCTTCCATTCTCTGCCCTCCTCTCCTCCTTCCACTGAAGGAGATTGAACAGACACTGATCTATATTTGAGCTTCACATCTTGAAGCACCATTGTGTCCTGAGACAAGAGTAAAACTGGAGTAAAAAAGCTCTGGGTTCAAATGTTACTTCTAGAGCTTGGCATTATAGATTTGTAAAATGAGAGTAATTGCGCAGAGGGTTATAGTGCAGATTTTGCTAATTGCACAAAATTGACTTGATACAGGTTAGTCTCCATCTGCTTCTTCCACACCCTGATCACTGCTCCTAAGTCAGTCCAGCAAGGGAGGGTTTGTCTTAGCGAAACCCACCTCCCACCAAGGAGGTGGTGCTGTTGCAGAGGCACACCCTGAGGCAGAGCTCTGATAGCACTTACAGCACCAGTATCTCCTATTCGACATGGGTCAGGTCTTTTCCAGATCTGAATGCAATATGATAAGAATCACGGTTTAAGAGAGGAGAAATGAGAGGAAGAATGGCACGGCTAATAAATGGTTATAAATTAGAACCTCAGAGAGAACTTAAAGAAATTGTCTTTCATGTGGAGAAGAGAGTGAAAGTGAATTTAACGACTCTTCAAGACGGTGCATATGGGATAATAAGCAGGATAATGGCCCTAATCCCTAAGGCCAGAAAAAGAGAAAAGGAGAGGAATTTGCCTTAGAGAGGGAGGGAGAAAGAAAGAATTTAAGGTGAAACTTCTCTAGAAGATTATTATTAAACACCGGTATAGGTGAGCATAGGAGCTTATGAGATTTTCTTTTTCTTTTCTTTTCTTTTCTTTTTTTTTTTGTAGTCCCATAAAGACAGAGAGCCCCTGCTTGTCTAGTTTGGGAGGGGTATTGACCCTGTCCCAGAAATCTAAGGTGGGAGAGCAGGAGGTAAAGGGGATGGAGAAAATTGCAGGAATCATTCTTGAGCCCTGGAAAATACAAGTTAAAGCACTTGGAAAGCCTTCAAGGAAAAGAAGCCACATTAATCTATGACTAGGAAACACAGAATCTGAATGCTAATGTAAGAAAGAACATGGGGTGGGGAGGAAGCACCGGCAAGGAGGAGGAAGGCAATCTATTTTGTTTCCAAGTTACAGGCACCACTCCACTCCTGGTGGGGCAATCCTAAATTTCCTTGTGTGGGCCTCAGTTGCCTTTTCCATACTATCAGGTGCTTGGATTAAGCACTCTCCTGAGTCCTATCCGATCCTGAATTTGTATTCATGAAACTGATCCGAGAGTGCAAGTAGATCCGTGAGAAGCTACCTCAGCCCCAAACCCAAGGTTGTGCTTGGGAGGGCTGGTCCTGCCTGCTTGGAGAGAGGTGCCAGAATTTCTGCACAAATCCCCACTCCTCAGCTGAGAGCCAGCTGCCGATCTTCTCTGAGCTTCAGTGTCTTCATTTGTGACATGTGGGCAGTAATGGCTCATTTGGCTTTTGTGAATTTAAATTAGATAATGCAAGTAGAACACTAAATATATCTAATAGCTCCCATGTATCAGGCACGTAAGTACCAATAAAATGGTACCATTGCATTAATTTTATTGGAATGATGAGAACTTTTAAGCCGTTTTATTTCCTTTCATTTCTGCCTTTATTGGATTTACGGAATATATTGCAACCGAGTCATACAGTTTGGTGTTGTGGTGGTGATGTTTTCTGGTTTTGACATACTTGTCTTTTCTTGTTTTGGCAGAACGGATCCTAATTCACTCAGCTTTCCTGAGTGTTATATTAAAATACCTTGCCCACGTTCACCTCTCTAGCTGCCTCGACATCTTCTCTGCCCTCTTAAGTTTGTGATGTGGAACTAAGAGAGTAATTACGTAGCAGTTCCGGTGGCTTTGAATCCTGTTGGCATTCGCAGCAAGCCCTTGTTACAGAGGTCCTTGCTGTCCCTCTATAACATGGTCAGTTCGGGGCTCGCCAATATTCTGTTGCTATCACCATTTTAGCTGCTCCTCTCTGCATCTTGGCCCACCTCTTTGCCACTTCGTGCGGTCGTTTTTAAGTGTCACCAGCTCCAAAACCCGTTTGACTCTTCCAAAGGCTGGACTCCCCATCCGTCTCACACCCGGCAGGCCGTGGGTTGCGCCCCGAGCTGATACAGAACCCAGCTCCGCCGAGCAGAGAGGGCGCGTCGCCTGAGCCAGGGTGGGGCACCGGGTTATGAGCGGCCTCCCGCCTTTTGGGTTTGCTTCCCCGCAGGGGACACCGTGGGCGGCGGTGCGGTTCGGCCACTGCCCCCCCGCCTCTCGCGTCCGGCCGCGCCGCGGGTTGCGGTCTCCGTGGGGGTGGCAGCGCCTGTCCCGGAGGTTTGCGCCTGGCAGGGCACCCCAGAGCCGCGAGGAGCCGGTAGGCGAGGCCAGGGCGGGCTGGGGCGCGCCCGGGCGGGGAGGGCAAACTCAGGCAGCGCAGGGGGCGCAGAGGGCAGCGGGCGGGCGGACGCGCGGCCGAGGAGCGAGCGGGACGAGGGCTGGCTAGTGCCGGGGACGCCCGCCCGAGGGGGAGGAGGCTTTGCTGCCCTCGCTGCAGGTTCGCTGCCGAGCGCACAGGAGGCAGGGACATGGGCAGGGTGCGGTCTGCGCGGGGCCCGAGCCCGGATCTCTTCCATTTCCCCTCTCACTCGGCCCCGGGCTGC